CCTCCTCCTCCTCCTCCTCCTCCTCCTCCCCCTCCTCCTCGTCATCCTCCTCCTGCTCCTCCTGCTCCTCCTGCTCCTCATCCTCCTCGTGCTTGGGGTCGTGCCAGGCGGATCTCGGGCGGGCGGGGTAAGGAGTGGGAGGAGGGCGAGGACGATGATGATAACGACGACGGTGACGATGACGATGTATTCAAGCCGCCGCGGCGCCGACAACTCACGGAAGAATGGAGGCAAAATGACGGCCAATCGTCGCAACCACGTCCGCGGAACGCGGGCGACGTCAGAAGTGGTAAAGTTGGGCCCAGATCGGCTCGGCTCTAATGGAAGCCTACGTCGAGACCAGCCCATAGCCGGATTTTCTTGTCAGCCTTGGGCGAGCCTGTAGAATCGGCAGGGTTGCCGAGAGCACGCAGGGCGTCTCTCAACTTCTGCAGCTGAGATTCGACGAATCGGGCGCGGTGGGGTTCTTTGAGGTGAAACCCTGCCCGACGCATTCTGTACACCGTCCACGCCCGCAGCACCAGAAATGAAACGACTGGCTTGCCCGCAGATTTGTCCTCACCAAAATGGTGGCACGTGACAGTCTTGGACAAGGCCTTGGCCCCCACGCCGTGGGCCCCCCGCCACCGCGGGCTCACTCGGACTTTTACGTCTGGCCAGGCTGGATTGTTAGAGTATGTAAAATAACCGTTGCTCTCGAGCACCCAGGACCCTGGAGGCGCCCTCTCGTCCACAGCACCTGGAGCTTCTGCTCCCGACCCTGACCCGTCCTCTGCCGCGTCGTCCGACCCGTCCTCTGCACCGCCGTGGCACTCCTCTACCTCGTCCTCGGCCTCCTGCTCCAGGCTATCCGCGCAGGACTGGAGATCGGAGGAGGCCACCGAGACGCGGTCGTCATCTTGGTCGGGCTGGCCCTCCCCCTCTGCTCCTCTGGTTGCCGTGCGTTGCGCCGCATCTTCCTTGACTTCGTAGGCGTGCGCAATTGAAAATACGATCCCCGTGTCGGAGGCGCGGTCGATGGAGACTGTCAGGCGGGCCACGAGCAAGTCGGCCGAGATGTCTACACCTCGGCTGTGCAAGACGTCCGAAACAGGGGCCGCACGAGCCTGCAGAGAAGGGATGTCCAAGAGGAAGCGGTGGCGGGCCACTGCAACTAAAGGAATGGCCCAACAGCAAGACAAAAGCGAGCAGGCAAACATAACCACGCTGCCGCGCGTGTGGGGCGGAGCAAGCGACCGAACCCCGACGCTGTATAACCCAGGAGGGCAAGCCAGGAGCTTCCGAAACCACATGTGCATGATGCATTCCTGGCCGACTGGCTGGAGACGGGGCGCTGGAGGCAGATCGCCCATCGGGACCGCCTGCCGGTTCAACGAACGCCGCTCGGCCGTGGCAGTTTTCAGCAGCCCCCGCCACTCGGCGTCGTTGTCGCACATCCACTCCACCCACTCGTGCACGTCCCACGGCATCTGGGCTTCGGACGCGGTCTCCTCCTTGTGGGCGTCCCGCATCGCCTTCGCTGCCTTGCGCAAGCGGACCTGATGCTGCGCCTTGTAGGCGCGAAGAGCGGCCGCGTCCCCCTGATGGACAATGGCTCGTTGCTGGCGTTTGGGCACATGGGCCTCGTGCCTGAGGGGGCACAATACAAGCGCTGGTACAATGAAGGGAAGGCGCTTTCATCCCGCGGCCTCAACTTCCCGCGGGCGCGAGGGAAGAGCCGTTTCGTCTCATTGACCGCCAGGGCGTGGTAATTCATGGCGCTGACCTGGGAGCCCCCGCGCAGGAAAGCTGACATTGGGATTCTGGCCGGGGGGGGGCTGGAACGAGACATCAGGGGCGAGGGCGGGAGGGCGTCTTGTGGCCCTGAAGACCTTCCTGCTCTTCTTGG